TACTACTACTACTACTACTACTACTACTACTACGACTACGACTACGACTACGACTACGACTACAACAACAACAACAACAACAACAACTACTACATGTACAGAGATGCTCATTTATGAGCTTGGCCCACTAGTTAATAGGGTGTGAAAAAAAGAAGGCCATGCACACCGTGTTGGGGTACAAGTCGCAGTTTCTGACGATTTCTGACTTTACCATATATTTTTGGTATATTAGAATGAATGTGACTCAAAATAATTATAAAGTTGAATTCTCCATTATCTAAGCAAAGTGTCTGCATGTTTGTTTATTCTCGTTTGCTGGGTTACAATGTAAAAATCCAAAACAAGTTAGTCTACTTACCAAAATTTTAACAAGTCACCCAACACTCTTGTTCACAAACCATACACTTTTGTCATTGTTTCTGGCGTTTATGTCGTTTGAAACGCTTCAAACTTTCGTTTGCAAAAACCATCCTGTAGCGTTTGTGCAATTTAATGGTTTTTGTCGCTTGAATGGTTTGTTGAAATGGTTTGAGTTGTTTGTTCATGTGGTTTGAATTGCTCATTTATATGGCTTGAATTGTTCTTTCTGACCTGTTTTAAGCTTGTTTTACTAGGTTTCAGAGGAAATAAAACACTTAAGCTTCTCTGAAGATAATTGGAACATAAAGGAGCAATAAATAAGCATTTATTCATGAACTGAGTGAAAAATAAAATATCAGTTGATTACAACCTTACACGATGAACAAAACATCCACCCATAGGTACCTTCAGGGTATTTTCTTGCTCTGTCTTTTGCATTTAAATTAGGTGGAAGGTGCGAACTTGTCTTTAAAGTTAAAGAAAGATATGAGGTTTCTATCTTTTAAGAACTTTGGTAGAATAAATAGCATGTTCTGATAGGGTGTGATAAAAAAAAAAAAGAAATTATTCCAATATGTCATCAATAAGGGCTGTAACCCGTAGCACCCTTTACAACTGAGCATGCGTGATGGATCCTTGTTGCTATCAGGACTGTAGTTGAAACAATTCAACCATAAAGTAACAAATTTGTTATGGGTGTGAAGACTAAGGCTACAGCTGAATCAAAACCTAGTGAGAGCCTTTAATGCGGCATTTTCAGGACAGATTATGCGCTAAGAAAGGGCTATTATGTATGCGATAAATTATGCAAATTACACAATTATTCTCCCTGACCAATTTAAAGCTTGTTTCACAAGGTTCCAGTGGAAGAAACCACGTTTGTGCTTCGTTAGACAATTGGAACATTAAGGAACAATGATTATCATCTATGCATGAATTGAGTAAAAAATATAGATTAATCAATTACAACCTTGCATGACGAACAAAACATCCACCCATCGTCCGCATGGAAGGTACCTTTGGGGTATTTTCTTGCTTTATCTTTTTCAATTAAAAATTTGGCAGTAGTTGCGATCTTGTCTTTTTAGTTGAAGAAAGATCAAGGATTCTATCTTTTAAGAACTTTAGGGGAATGCAGAAGGCTTTCTGATAGGATGTGAGAAAAAAAGTTGAAATTATGTGTATTGTCAGGACAGATTATGCGCTAAGAAAGGGCTATTATGTATGCGAGAAATTATGGAATTATTTGATTTTTTCTCTGTCCCATTTTAAGCATGTTTTACTGGGTTTCAGAGGAAATAAAATAATTAAACTGCTCTGAAGACAATTAGAACATAAAAGAGCAATAAATAAGCATCTTGTCTTGAATTGAGTGAAAATAAAAGATTAATCGATTACAACCTTGCATGATGAACAAAATATCCACCCATCCACGTGGAAGGTACCTTCAGGGTATTTTCTTTCTCTCTCTTTTGCATTTAAATTTCGAGGGTTCTATCTTTTAAGAACTTTCGTGGAATACAAAGCATGTTCTGATAGGATCCAGTAAAAAAAATTATGCCAATTAATATGCTGTCAATAAGGGCCGTAACCCCTAGTACCCGTTACGACTGAGCATGTTTGATGGGTCCTTGTTGCTACCAGTGAACTTGGCTGTAGTTGAAACAAATCCACCATAAAGTAACAAATTTGTTATGGATGTAAATATCAAGGCTACAGGTGAAT